CCGAGCGAGGCACTTTATAGAATCAGATCAATCAGCGGTCCGTCAGCAAGTGTGTAGGGCGCACCTACTGTGGGAAGCCGGCGATGTGGGGGGTATCAGGGCACCGAGGCTAACCCCTGACCTCACGCCAGGGATGCCCGGGTCTGTACTACCTGTGATGCCGCCGGGCCCAAGGCAGCGTGGCACGGGCGGTGGGTATGCTCTGGAGGCAGAGGCAGGCTGAGACGAGATGCCAGGGGCAATGAGAGCCCCCCGACACCCGGGGCACCCTCGGATGGGAGGATGGTGTTTTCATCTCTTCAGCTCCCTGGAACATCTCGGGCATGAAGTCAACCTGGCAGTAGCCTGGCATCCACAAATGTCTCCAAAGCAGAGACACGGACCTTAGTTGTCAAGAAGTTGCTGTCACCAGTGAGACCTGGAGGCAACTAATTGTGTGAGCTGAGAGCAGAGACTGGGAGTCATCGGAAGTTCAAGCCCCGGACCTCCTCCTCGCTGGACGAGTGACATGCCCTCTCTGGGCCTCCCTTTCCTGAAATAGTGACTGATGCACAGTAGGTGAGACAGCAGCAGTCCTTATTATTGCTAGTATTATAATTGATATTTTTGTAATTATTATTGACAGTTTTCTCTCCATTTCTGTCACATGGAATGGAACGAGAGACCATTGAACATTTCATTTGTCTTCATTTGCCAGATTATTTTCTGAGCACCTACTGTGTGCCTGGGCCATCTGGGTGCTGGCAGTGTAGACAAACATAAGACCCTTCCTTCCAAGGATTCTGAACCAGTGATGGTGCCTCACTCTCGCCCCGGGGCCTCATTCTCACACCCTGCAGCTACAGACACAATGCTTGGGGGGCTCCTCTCTCTGCGAGTCTGGGCACGTCAGCTTTGGTTCTGCCAAGGTGAGGGGTCTGACCTCAGAGGTGATGAGCAGCTGGGGGGCACATCGCCCGCTTCCTCTTGCCCTCTCCAACCTCCACAGCAAGAGGTCCCATGTGGCAAGAGGACCCTGGGTGCAGCAGAGGGCAGGGCAGGTCTGTGTCCCTCCTGGTCACTTCCTCACCATCCTGACATAGGCAGACAAACTTCTTGCACCTGCTCCACGTCAGGCGCCCATCTGTGCAACAGACAGTCTTGGGCACACACTTGCGTCCTTCCTACTGACAGAGGCCATTGAGCGTCACAGCCCTCCCCAGGGCCTGACGGCCGTGCCAGCTTGGGGATGGCTTTCTGACTTTTAAAAGCTGTACTTCAGGGCCTCCCCAGTGGCGCAGCGGTTGAGCGCTGGGTTGCGAAGCTGCCCGCGGCCTCTGGGGTGCCGGTTCGATCCCCGGCTGCTCCCCGGCCACCGGAGGAGGGTCCCACATGGCGTGCAGACCTCTCCTGCCGCCCGCTGCTCCCCTCAGCAGTGTACTTCGGTCCTTCTGCCTGCTCTGCTCCCCGCTCTGGCTCTGGTGAATTCTCTCACCCTCCCGCGCTTCTGACTGTACCCAGTGCATGTATAAACCAAACAAACAAACAAATAATAAATAAATAAGACATGCCTCTAGAAAATTTAAAAAAATAAAAAATAAAAATAAAAGCTGTACTTCAATACAATAAACGTGGGACTCAGGCTGAGGAACTTCTTCTGTCTCCTGGCCTAATGGAGATGAAGATTCAAAAGAGGGGGGAAAAAAACAGTTTGGGGAAAAAAATCTCTAATTTCTAATGGGGGGGGAAAGCTTTTGAAATCAATCAGTCCTGAGGCTCAAATTTTAGCTCTGCAACTTACTGACTGTGTGTCTTTGGGCAAGTTACTTTACCTTCCTGCCTCAGTTTATCTGTGAAACAAAGATAATAAATTCCTCCTGAATTATTGTACTATTTAGAGATATTTGCAAAGGGTCTAGAACAGTTCCTGGTGTACATAAAGAATAGGTGAAAGCAATTATTCTACTCAATAAATAGGACTGTTTATTTTAGTTTGTGTTAACTGTTGGATGGGCCATGTAATAATTTGGATGAGGTTCTGCTACACCAAATAGAAATCCCCAAGTAACAATAGACTAAACAAGATAGATGTTTTTTTTTTTTTCTCCATATAAAGTAAGCCCAGAGATAGTCAATATAGGGTTGATTTGGCTGCTCTATTCCTAATATTCTAAAGAACCAAACTCTTCCAATTCAGTGTTTCATCATCCCTAGAGTGTGGCCTCATCCTCATGACACAGGATGGCTGCGAGGACTCCAGCCATCACACCACAAGCCATTATACAGAAAAGGATGAAGGAGTTACTCCCTCCCTTAAGATTGTCAGATTTAGTAAATAAAACTATAGATATCTAAATGAACTACAGGTTAAATTTGAACTTGCATACAAATTAATTTTTAGCATAAGTACTATGGAGATATATATTTCTTAAATATGTGTTTAATATAATTATATTTTAATTGTCATTTATTTAAAATTAAAATTTAACTACGTGTCCTATCACCCAGTCCTATTTTATCTGGCAGCTCTATCCCTTAAGGGCATTTCTCCAAAGTACAACACAATATTTCTACTTGTATTTATGTCAAAAATCTCATCGTGTGGTTAATCTCTCTGCAAGGAAAACTGGGGAATGTACCCTGCTAATACATTCTGGATGTATCCTGCTAAAAATTTGAGAATTTGTTGCCAAGGAAGGGGGAGGATGGTGAGGAGACATCATGCAGTCACTCCAATATTTCATTTGTAAAAAAAGGGGCGATTGTTTTTAAGGTGCTGGAGTACAGTGCACAAGACCAGAGAAAAACAATCAATTCGATTAAAATATTGTAATGACTTGCATTTGTTCAATGATTTCAATTTTCAGTGCACACCAAGGAAGGCTACAGAAGGCAGATTTGGCTGTCTCTATTTTTGCCTGAGAAAACTGAGCCTCAGAGAATCTGGTCAAGGTCACATAGAAACGGCATTAGCTGACAATCCAGGTCTAAGTCAACACAGACGTTTCCTCTGTGCCTCACCTGGCACCAGACCGAAAACATATTGGGAACGAGGAGTGGAGACAATTTTGTGTATTATTTTTTAAAAGATTTATTTTTATTTATGCATGCAAGAGCTGGGGTACAGGCCAGAGGTGTGGGGGTGAGAGACTTCACCAGAGACAGAATGGGGAGCAGAACAGGCAGATTGACCGAAGTACACTGCTGAAGGGAGCAGCAGGCAAGTCAGGAGAGGTCTGCTGCGCCATGTGGGTTGCTCTCTGGCTGACCTGGGATCAAACTTGTGCTGCAGATGCTGGGGATTGCTTCATAGGTTGTGTCTTAATCCCTTGCACCACCAGGGAGGCCTAATTTTGTGTATTATTTTACCCTCAATATCTTTTATGGTATCTGGCACAAAATAGGTGCTTGTATTAGTTTATTCCACTATGTGACAAATTACACAAACTGAGAATCTCTAAATAATTCACATTTATAATTTCATGCTTTCCTTGATCCAGATGTCTGTGCATGGCTCAGCTGGGTTCTCTGTCCAGATCTCACAAGTTGTAGTCAAGGCATCAGTGGGTTGTGTTCTCATCTGGAGGCTTGCTTGGGGAAGAATCTGCTCCCAAGCTCAATCTATGGGTTGGAAAAGGTCAGCAGGAAAGAAAGTCTGACCTCAAGGAGGGTCCAGTGCTGTTTTAAAGATTTTCACCTAACCTGATGAAGTCAGGCCCACCCAGGATACTCTCCCTTTTGATGAACCAGAAAAACCAACTGATTTCATACTATAATCTGCAAAATGCCTTCCTTGCCATATTCTGTTGGTGAGAGGCAAGTCACAGATTATAATCACACTCAGGAAGAGGGTATTTTATAGGGCGATAAACCCCAGGTTTGTCTGCCTAAGGCTGACCAATATCTGTTGAATCAATAACTGAATGAATGAGTATAGGAATGACTTCATGAATGCTACGAACCAGAACAGCAAACTCTGTTCTTCCTCTACGACACAACTCTTATCCCGCACCCAGAGCTGCCCTCTCACTTTGAGATTCTGGATTCTGTGACCCAGGCCTAGCACTTCATACCAAACATCCAGGTACCTACAAGGCAGGGAACAAAGAATCCCCAACAAAGAAGCCACGAAGAGGCAGGAAGCCCGTATATCACGCACCGGCTTCGGTGCTGGGAGCTCTGTTGAAGCGCTGACAGCATTTTTCTGTTTGTAGAATCGTGGTAATGGGGAACACATTTTGTATAAATGCATGCAGCGTCAGGGTGCCTGGTAGTAGCTAGCTGCTCACACTCACACAGTAGGTATTGATTACTGACCTGAAGCCACATCTCCTAGGAATTGTAAGTTATGCCCTTCCTGGCTTGGGGAAAGCCATTCCGAGCCCTCGTGTGGCTGTGAACTCTGTTGATGAGAAGCTACAAGATTTTTTACGTTTTGGGAGGGGACGAGATGGGAAGTTGGCTCGAAGGGAAGCGCATGGAGTCGATGTGCTAGTGCACAGGGCTCTGATGGGTGAATGTAGTGACGGACACTCCCAACTCTTCCCACGCCTGCCACGTTGTACGAGACGTCACGTGAACTTCTCATCTACGCTGATGTCGCCACTCTCATTGTCCCTGCTCTCCATTTCTGTCTCTCTCAGAAATGGAGACACAGGGCAGGTCAGTCACTGGCCCAGGATCATCCAATGGTGATAGGATTAAGAGACAAGCAGGTGGTCTAGACTCCGGCCTCTGCTGCTGTCCCCGCGGGGCTGGCTGCCGTCCCGTCCGCCTTTAAATGAGGAAAACTCACCAAGAAACCAGCTGCGGAGTCAGCAAGGCTGATGATGGCCACTTAACCACTCTGTGCCTCTGCTCATCGTTGTAAAATGGGAATAAATAAATTCAAAGAATTTATTTAGAGGAAAAAAATGTTCAGAATAAAAGCACATTATCTGATGGTCTAGTTCTTATGAGGATCAAACAGCAGAGAACACGAACATCTGAGGATTCTATATGGAACGTGGACACGTCTCCCTCCTCCCTGCCTCCCCTCCCCCCTTATTTCCTCTCCCCCCTTTCTCTTCCAAAGGCCCTCATAGGCAGCCCCTCTTCCTGGACCTCAGCTCTCATCAGATCTTGGTAACCAGTCTCCCTCTATTTGCCCCTTCAGGCCTCAGGGGGGTCCAAGAGTCAGTATGATGATGTGTCAGCTTGCCCAAGCTCTAGTAGCCTATTGTTCAATCACACTTTAGGTGCTGTGGGGATTCTGGAGATGTGCCAAGCACCCATAATCAGGTGATTGAGTATAGAGCATCCCTCCATACAGCGGGTGGGCCTTGTCTTATCAGTTGAAGGGCCTTGAGAGCAAACACTTTTTTTTCCCTGAAAAAGGAAATTCTGCCTCATGATGGTGGCCTGAGAGTTTCGAGTCTGCCCTTACAGAGTTTGGACTAATCAGCCTCCACAATAGTGTAAGCCAGTTCCTAGAAATTAAAATTTTAAAATGAGTTTTTATATGTGTATGTGTATTTTATGCATATATCTATTATATGGAGAGATGGATCTCTACTTCCGCCCCCACCCTCACCTCCATCCCTAGCCATATGCCACCTCTATTTATCACTTGTTTCTCTGGAGAAGCCTGACTGATACAGGTGTGAAGGTCCCGCTGTTGGTAGCTGTTGGTCCCCAGGGTGCTTCTCCATCCTCTGTGAGTCTCCTTTCTTTGCTCACTTTCCCGTAAAGTTTTCCTTGATTAAAATCTCCCCAGTTGCCCCATGCATGGCCCTCTGCTTCCTGCCTCGGCCCTGACCAATGCCCCATCCATTTGTGGATAAGTTTCAAGCCTGTTCTTCCAGTGCCGGCCTCGCATCTTCAGTTTTGAACAAGGTAGATCTATCTCCTTGAACAGCCTGCAAATATCTAGGACTCCTTGTGAAACCCATCACTCTCCTCATGGTGCCCAGTGAAGGACCTGGACACCCCCACCTTCCAACACCACCATCCCGTCCATGTTCCCTGACTATGTTTGACCAGAGTCCTGAAGGAGAGAGGGCCCCATGGCTGTCTCTAGGGGAAGAACGGTACTGGGTGGCGGGGTGGCAGGTGCAAAGGCCCTGTGGCAGGAGTGAGTTTTATATGCAGGGTGAGGGTGAGAAACTCCATGAAGTTTCAGCAGAAAAGTGGCACCCCAGGGGGTAGGGCCAAGCAGAGTCTCCAGGGATGCCGTAGAACTGCATGTCTAAAGCCTGAGTACCTGCAGCGGTGGCTCCATGAATGTTGGCGAGCGTGACCACCTGGGGCTTTGGGATGCAAACAAGAGAACAGACGCCAAGTCATCTGAGAAGAGAAGGAGTTGTGAAGAGCAATTTTGGTGGCATCAAGAATCAGCAGAAAGGCTGTGAGCCAGGCGCTGGGGACAGCCTGCAGCCCAGCCTGGTATGGAGACGGTGGCGGCACCCCCCGCCCCCAGCCCTGCAGCCTGTTCACCAACATCATTCTCCTTTATGAGTTTGCTTTCTCCCCCCCCGGAGAGGAGTGTTCCAGTCTTTGCAGATAAGAGCAACAGGTCTGCCTTAAATATTTCTATTACTTGAACATCCATAAATCTATTGGTTTAAAACTGTCAGCAACATGGGAAAATTCTGAGATGGAGCCACCTTATCACCAGTGAGGAATTTGCCCAAGCAGGGGCAGGATGCTGCGTGAAGGACGGTGGCAGTGCCCAGAAGCAAAGCGTCGCATCCACCCCACCCGTGGCCCTTGGCTTCCCAGTAGCATTTGGAAGCCTGGACCTAATAGCCAGACGTCCTGTGGGGCAGGTGCGAGCTGCTCTTGCCAACTCCCCTGGCCCTTTGTCTGATGTGAGTTGACATCAGGGCCCCTTGCCTGGCCACCCTCCAAACCAGAGTGGTCCTACGTTTGGGAAATAAGTGCTTTCTCCCCAGGAACTCAGTCCCTAGAGCACCAGGAAAAGTCTCACATGAGGAACCAAGGACTGGGGTTCCAGGCAATGGTGTTACTTATTAGTAAATGTTTATCTAGCCACTTCTTCTCATGGGGGTGAGGGAGCCCCGATTTGGAGTATGTGCCAATGTCCATGGCGTATGTGGCCATCACTGGTCACCGTCAGGAAGAGATTTGGAAGAGGGTCCAGTTCTGAATGTTCCACCAGAACTTCACCAGATCCAAGTGGTGGGAGCCTTATTACCTTTCAAAAACATAATTTCTTTCATCATAAACCTCCATAATTTAATTTTTAATCATGACTATGTTGGACAGTTTGCCAAAGTCCCCCCAAAGCGGGCTGCTGTGCATCAAGCCAGCACTTTCTGCCTACGCCTTTCTGTGCTGCGACTGTGGACAGCTTATCTAGTTTGATGAGAGAACATCCTCTGAGCTACGCTCAGGCAGAATTTCCTGTATTTCAGGCACTCTACAGAGCCCTTGGTGTGATCTGTTGGCGAACCCTAGCCACCATTGTTACACCCTGTTTACAGATGGGAGTCCCATGCCCAGACAGACCACGTGACCACAGAGGGTTACGTGGCAGAGCAAGGTTCGAACCCAGGCTGTCTGGCTGCACTAGATGTGCCAGACACTGGCCCGCACTGCTGCTCTGTTCCTCTAAGCAAAGCCTCCGTCTCCGCCTGTAAAGGGTAGATGGCCTCTGCGTTTCCTAGGCTGGCTCTGAAGATGTGAAGATGGGAGCACACCCCACTGTGTATCACCTGGGAACTCAGTCTCCCTTCACTGGAAGAGTCTGCAAATTCAAAACACATAATGGAAGTTTCTCAAAAGGTTAAAAGTGAATCTACCATAGGACTCAGTGATTCTACTCGTAGGTATTGGCCCACTCGTAGGTATTACTTAAAACAGCCAAACTATGGAAGCAAACTAAGTCCCTCCGAACAGTCCAGTGGATCAGGAAGTTGTGGTCTATCTACAAAGTGGAATACTACTCAGCCATCAAAAAGATCAACTCATGCCATTTGTGGTGTCGTGAATGGAACTGGAAGGGCTGAAGCTCAGTGATGTAAGTCAGAAGGACAAGGAAAACCATCAGACGGTTTCACTTATCAGAGGACTATAGAGAAACCAGACAAAGGGTCAGATAAAGGCAGCTCAAAAACTAGCCTTTGAAAGCAGACTAGAGAACTGAGGCATTCGCGGGGGGAAGGAGAGAGCATAGAGTGGGGAGAGAGCACAATGGGCTATGAGGTAGGTGGGAGATGTGGGGTGTTAGGGTGGTGGGAGCAATATGGTACCCACTCCAGGATGGGGGGCAGGGGGCGAGAATCTTGTACTTCCAAAATACAAACAACAGTGTAAATCAACGTTATCTCAATAAAAATTCAAACAATTAAATACATATAAAATAAATAGAGTACATGCACGCAGGTGACAACATCGGGGTGACTGATGCAAGTCGTTGGCCATAGTCTGGCACCATTACTGGGCTTCCAAGAAGAAAGCAAACTCCTTGGGCTTTCAGGCAAACAGAGCAAAGGGCATGGAAGGGCAAGAAAACCAGATTCACATCAACCTCTCTGACAACAGTACTTCGTGCCAGAGAAAGAAAACGGAGTACGATGTTGAAGATACTCGAGAAAAGCCGCAGCCATGGTGGTCAGCCAGGAAAGCTGAGGCCCGAGTGTGAAGACCCGAGGGAGCCGAGTCTTGCTGGGAAACTTTGGGGAACATGGAAGCTTCCAGAGGAAGAAGCCTCCGGCAGAAGGTGAGATGCCCACAGAGATAGCAACTGCAGACACTCGTGAGCTGGCCCAGGGGGTGCCAGAGGGCCTGAGGCCGCGGTGGGCACTGGGCCACTGCCTTGCCATCCTAGACGGAACTCTACCGATGTTTCCAGGCTTTCATTTTATTTTCTATAAAAATGATTTTTTTAAAAGCTGTGATACAGAAATATTGTTTCATGTTTAACCCCCAGCATCAAATTTAAAGTACCTGGAGAAACAATAGGGAGCTTCAACACACTCCCGGCAGGGTCACCGGGCAGCAGCACCAGAGAAGCCCCGGGCAGGAGAGGCCCTGGGGGATTCCTCCAGGCAGGTCCCCACGAAGGGGGCAGGACAGTGCTATCAGCCGCGGTGAAAGCAGTGATGGATCACCAGCTGTCATGCTATTATTACCCAGGCTTCGGGCACCCAACCTCTTATCTGTTTCCCTCAGAGAAAAATATGCCCTCTCCCCACAGGCGAAGCTCGGCACCAGCCCCTGCGATCGATCGTAAAGTGAAGTCAAACGCGCCTAGTTGCTGACCTACTGGGCGTACATGGAAGCAGAGGCTTGCCTCTGAGAGGACAGGCTTGGTCGGCCCCTCGCAGTTGTCACTTGATGCTCCACGGAGCCCTGCGGGTATGCGGGAAGCCGGAAGGTGCCCCCCGCTGGTACTGTGGCCCCGCAGGATGGACAGTCTCCATGTGCCCCTGCACCCTCCCGCCCTATGTCTCCCCCACCCCTCACCCCTGGCCGCTGTGCTCTTAGAGGCTGTGCCCAGCTTCCGGCTGCTGTGTCCTCAGCTCCCTGGTCTGACCCAAGGAGACCAAGGGAAGAGAGTGGGACCATTCCCAGGGCCTCCGGACATGGGGGGCAGCACCCTCACCCGCCCCCAGCCCAAAGGCTGTGTCTTCTAGGCAATGCTCTCTTCAGCAGTAGTTCTCACCGGGTCTGGAAACATTAGATCACCTGCCCCATTGGGTCTGAAGGTGGCAATAATGCCCCCCCAAGCTTGTTAGTTTCGGGGTTCTCCACCAGCCCTTTAAGTCAACTTAGCCCAGCCTACACCTGCGCGAATGACCCCTCACGCGACTCTCTTACCATGTCTGCGGGTGCATCTGTTTCCTGCCCAGACAGAAAGAGCTTCTGTAAGCCTCAGTTTCCCCATCCAGGAAATGGGTCCTTTCCTCCCCACTCCACCTTGCCCAGGTGCCCTTTGGGGGCTGCGGCGAGCGAAACCTAGATGGGAAAGAACAGTCCAAAAGGGCCTCCCGGGAGTCCGGCGCTGGCCATTAATAAAAGCCAGAGGGGTCCCCTTGATTTGCCTCGGAGGCCCCTCCCCTGGGCGCCCCCGACCTCCTCTCCTCGCCTCGGCCTGGACGGCCTCCTCCCCAGCCTGCTGTTCCCAGTGAAGGCATCTCCCCCGCCCCGCCCCCAGCCTGCACCTCCGTGTCTGCGAGGGATGAAGTGCCTGCTAATATAAGCGTGTTTACATTAAACTATAAGGACAATTACACCAGCGATCTAATAGTCAGCTCTGTATATGTTACCAAGTACTTAGGACGCTCTTCTGGAAACCCATTATCCCATGTGATTCCCCTCAAAGCCTTTCTTGAGGATTTTGTTTTGACAGGAGGGCATTAAGGGGTTGAAACTGATAGCATAAGCACACCACTTACACACTTTGATCAAATCGGCCCATCGTTCTCCTAGAGAAAGTCTTGTATATATTAGGGAGGAAATTAATTTTATGACTGCTGTGGCTT